TTAACAAACAAATGCATAATTAAAGCTTGCTACATACACAAAATGGAATATTTTTCCAATGTAAAGAAAAATAAAATTATGAAATTTGTAGGTAAGTGGAATGAATTACAAAAGATCTTGAGTGTGGTAACCCAGACCCAGAAAGACAAATGTCACATGTTCACTCTCATTTCCTGTTCCTACCTCCACGGCTTCTGATGTGAGTATATACTGTGAAGTAGCTGTAGGAACCAGGGAAGTAAAAAGAGACCGTGGGAAGGTGAGCAACAGAGGAGCCGATCAGAATACAAGTGATTTGAAATGGAAAATGGGGTAAACTCTAATTAGAAGGGAGAAGATAAAGTAACAGTAAGAATATCTGAATATGCATATGGAATCATTTTATTATTATCTACCTAAAATATAAGGCTATATATACATATGTATATACATAGATAGTTTAAATAAAACCTTTCAATCACGGCCAGCAATGTTCCCCACAAGATCCAGAAGATTTAACAAAGGCTCAAGATGAGACACAAGAAACCCTCTTTTGATTTGTTGGTCTGGGCTTCCGGGTTGTCTATGATGTACTCCAAACACTACAGACTATTGATATTGCCTTTAGCTTTCCCCACTACCAAGAGGTGGAATGTAAGTCCATATTGCTGAAGACACCATGCATTTCAGATGCAAGGCCCAGAGAATCCTGAGCTGGTTCTGGCCTGAAAGCCTCTACACTGAGAACTAGCTTTCATGTTACCAGATGGTATCCAAGCTTCCACAGGATGGAAGCATCTAACAGTCCTAACCCAGTTGTGAGACCGATGATCCACAACAAGGACCGGCATGGTATTGTAACCCCAAGGTTGCAGTAGTGGTATACATACTTTGGTGGTAACCAACAACTCTCTAATTGAACTGAAGATCTCCCTGAAGGAATATTTGCTGCTGATGGATTAGGCGGATGAGCAGTCATTTTCTTCACTTGTGTACCCCATGGTGAGCCACCAGATGCCAATGGACAGTTTCAAATCTGCAGTCACATTTACAATTCTGGTTAAACTCAGTGAATCATTAAACAAAACCAGCAACCATGAATGTAGGACAGTGCCTGTAGGGAGGGAGGAGGTGGCAAGTCTGTGAGGGAGAAAGGTGAGAGTGTGGAGGGATGGAGGGAGGGAGTAAACAGAATGCAATGCATGCATTCATACATTCATACATACATACACACACAATCAATAAAGAACAAATATAATCCAATTTTTAAAAGACTGCCAAAAAAAGAAAATGGAAATGGCCAAATAACTCAGTCCTCAAAGACTCTCACTACCAAGCCTGAAAAGATGAGTTCAATCCCCAGCTCAGACTTTAAAAATAAAATTTTTGCCATTTTTGACAGCAGAAAACCTGCAGAATATTATTTAACTAAAATAAATGTGGTACAGAAAGACAGATTCTGTACCATGTACAGAGTACAACATAAGTATTTTTATCTTTATTGGCAAATAGAATTGTATACATTTACATTTTATAGTGTGATGTTTTATATATATCCCTATCTTAAAATGATAACAGTAGTCATGATAATTGACAGTTACTTTATAGAAAATAATGGGAACTCTGAAGATTCATTCTTTCAGCATTTTTAAAGTGAAAATGTAGGCACTTAATTTAACTACAGGCACTACAACTTAACACTCCAGAATCAAAAAATTTTGCTGTAACATAGGTTACTGATGAAAACAGTGAATTCTAAATAATAAATAATTACAGTAACATGGACATTAGATAACCTACGGTAAGAAAATTGACTCATAAAGCTTTAGTAACATCTAAATGTAACATGTTACATTTAGTAACATCTAAGGATTTTTTTTTTATCAAGCAGTATTAGGCCTTTGCTTACAAGATGCAAGGTTCTGATCCAAGAACTGATGTTGTTTATAATCTCTTTGGCTTGTCCAAAGACTCTGTTTGTGTTCTTACCAATTATAATTAATTTCCATTTAATTAGATTCTGTTGTACATAAAACCCAGGTGTTGTAGAATCTGGTACTGAAAAATAAACTCTGTGCAGAGGTCCAGTGAATATAAGATACTGTAAATAAACATTTAAAACTGATCAGCACATGAAGTTTACAAAAAGCTGCAATAGTGCAGGAGCAAAATGAACATAGAAATAGAAAAAACAACAAGTACACATCACTCTTCTTTTGTTTAAAAATCTGGTTTTATAAAATATATTCCTTCCTTTATGAGCAGTAAATGTACTTGATAGTTTGAATATGAACTATATTTTCCAACTATACAAGACGAAATGTATTTACAATTCAATAAATGATATAATTTCATTCACAGAAAAGCCAAACTTTTATTTTAAAACTCTCTTAATTTTAAAACAAGAAGGAATAAACAACAGCAAAGAACAAAAGTAATTGAAAGAAAAATTTCATGAAATGTGTTCTGCTTATTACAATTGTAGTAAGCCTATAATTTTAAATATCTCCATATGTTAAATGAATACCTTTAGGAAGAGCAGTAATTCAATTATGGGAATGTCCAGAGAAAAAAAGAAAAAAAATGCTGCCAGTCCCATAATTTTACTTTGTTTCCATAATAAGAACATTTCTAATCAGTGCAGAAACCTGTCCAGGCTTCAGATATCGACTCCTAAGCTTTGACATTGCTGCTTTTACTTCTTTGTTTCTCAAAGTGTAGATAACTGGGTTTAATATGGGTGTAAAGATGGTGTAGAACACAGCAAGGACTTTGTCAACTGAATAGCCACTAAAAGGCCACACATAGATGAAGATGCATGGTCCAAAGAAGAGTATAACTACGGTGATGTGAGCAGTTAGGGTGGAGCGGGCCTTGGCCATGCTAGCAGAGGAGCGATTCCTAACTGTAATGAGAATCACAGTGTAGGAGACAACCAAGAGGAGAAATGAACTCATGGAGAGAAAGCCACTATCTGCAACTATCAGTAAGCTGACAACATAAGTGTCTATGCAAGCTAACTTGGTCACCAGTGGGAGATCACAGAAAAAACTGTCCACCTGGTTAGGACCACAAAATGGCAAGTTAACAGTGAATGCCAACTGGCTAGTTGTATGAATGAAACCCACACACCAGGGGATGACGACCAGAATAATACACACACGACGATTCATGATTGTCATATAGTGGAGAGGTTTGCATATTGCAACATAGCGATCGTAGGCCATGGATACAAGAAGTACCATTTCACCACCAGCAAAGAGATGAACACAGAAAATTTGAGCTAAGCAGGCTTCAAAAGATATAGTTTTTTGTTCAACCAGAAGGTCAGCAAGCATTTTGGGTGTAGCAAAAGAAGCCACACACATATCTATAAAAGATAAATTTGCAAGCAGAAAGTACATGGGGGTATGTAGTCGGGAGTCTGAAGTCACTGTGAGGATAATGAGGAAGTTGCCCAGCAAGATTGCTAGGTACAGCAGTAAAAATATGAGAAATAAGAAAGGCTGGAGCTCCTTTGAACTTGACAAGCCCAACAGCACAAACTCTGTTACCCGAGAGTAATTTGTTTCATTCATTGACTTTGAAAGATTTTGTCTTCAGTTGTCTGAATAGAAACAGAACAGAAATCAATCAATTAAATAAATTTGAGTTGCTTTCTCAATTACAGTTCATATTTCAAAGATCAAGATCATACTTTTTATGTTTCTATCCATGGAGGTTTTTTTTAGTTACTCAAATTAACATAAATAATGTCATAAAAATGTTGTATGAATCTAGTTATATAAAGTCTGAAGTCAGTCCAAACAAATACATGGTTTTGAGAAACCTGACTGTAATCATCCTTGAACAGAATAGAAGGATCAGAAGGACACTGAGTCCTGGCAGCTCTGTGGCTGATGTGGCTGATGAAACTTACTGATATGTGCACTTCTTGTTTTACCCTTTTATAAACATGTTATGCATTTATGAAGCTTATAATGACAAAGACAATTCTAGATTTGTGTAAGTTAACTCATCTATAACAAGGACCCTCACCCTGAGTAACTGTAACTACATATTATCTCTTCCTCTCCAATTACAAATTCTGTAAGGGAAAATACAAAGTTCTGGTATAACTAGAAGATACAGAACTTCACAGAGCTTTTCTTCTGGTCACTCAGATCCTCTCAAAGATTTTTCTTACAATGAGACCTGACACATGTGTTCCTGTCAAGTAAGCCCTGAGATGATAATCTTCTTCATACACAGCCACTAATGCTAATAAGGACAGGAATATTATTGTGACATGAACAGAGAGAGAGAGAGAGAGAGAGAGAGAGAGAGAGAGAGAGAGAGAGAGAGAGAGAGAGAGAGAGATTTTAAGAGCCTTGAGAATAATTATGTTTAGAAAGAGTGATTACGTATTGTAGGAATTTAAGTTACGAGAATTTTTCTTTTCTACACAGTGAAGATCTATCCCCCATTTCATCTGAAATTGTTTCCCTTTGACTTGTTTTACTTATATAAGCGAGATACAACTTACAGACATGTATAGAAATAAGAAATTTAGAAAGCAATCTGCAATGGGACATTAGATTATCTCAATTTGAACATCACTCACATTTAAATCAGGTCTTCGAAGATGTCTTTTTATTATTTCTTGTCACTGGAAACTGCAGATACCAATGTCTTCTTAGATCAAAACTGCTTGAGTTTCACTGGATGAGTTACACATCGGGCAATAAGCAATGTATAATCTTAATTGACTTCAAGAAACAAACTCAGAGAATAACTTTTATATTTTATGTCTCTAACTTTTTAGAACCTAGCCAGGAACTAATTTGTGTTTTATCACTTACACCATCAAAACAAGCACACCAAGATAGCCAGAAATGTTTAAGAAGTTAGAGTTTAAAAGTAGAGCATACTACAGGATATATATATATATCAAATTTGATTTTTGAGAAAACACTACATTTTTTATGAACTTTTTTAAACTTTTTTTTATTTTTCATGAGTTCCAACTCTTAAACATCTGTCAAACAGGACCCTTATACGCAGGAAAGAGAGTAATACAAGTAGAAAAATCTTGCTGGGATTTTCATATATACCCCATAAAGGAGAGTAAGTGTAAAAGAATCAAGAGCTTCCTAGGACGATGTGACAGAGTCATTTATGAGCAGAGAATTTAAAATACAGCATACAATCCAGTCATGTGAGTAGATCAAATCAAGAACTGGCCTCCAATAACTCCTCGGACTCTCCTATTAAGTTCATTCCTCCCACTGTCTATGGCTTCTGGGACTCTTGGAAAACTTTGAAAAAATCTAGAACCAAGTTTCTTGGTGTCAGAAATAAAAGCAGATGGACTAGGAACTCTAACTGCATTTCCCACATCAGTCTTTTCTAATTTCCCCAGTTCATAAGCACAAAAGGGCTGACAATTTTAAGGCTTCCTGCTGTCACTGTTATAGACTATTTAGAATTTTTTTATCTGCTTCAGTAAGGATTAGGCCAGTTTATTGATCTATTGATCATTAGAGAAGTTAATAAAATCTGTTGTCTTCTTTGTCTGGCATATATATTAGATGAAATGTATTAACATTTTATCTGTAATAAATTAATTTTATACTGGTGAAAGCAAACATAATGTCAGAATCATAAGTGTCTTATTGAGCATCTTGAGACAATGACTGTGTCTTTTAACCTTTTAGGGCTCATTATTTTTAAATATTAAATAGTTATTCGATTATTCTAAAAAATACCAAATTTGCCTCTTGGTTGATTATTTAGATGAGGACTACATGATTTCTAAGAATCTGTAATTACTCATAAGGTATAATGTATTACCTTAGATTAGACTTATTCTAATTTATCTTTTTATTCTAACTCAATATAATCTAATAATTTTTGTGATTAATATTTGAAAATTTTACTTTGCCTGGCCTAACATATTAAAATGTTTCCAATTAGATGTGTTCATGTAAAACTAATTTTCAATTCTTAGAATATTCAAAAATAAATCCATGCCTGAAGATTTGAAAGGGCAGAATAATCTTCAGGTCCCTGAATTTTTAAAATTGTAATACATAAATCTTTCTCCAATACATATTACTCAGATATTAGAATTGATCGATGGAAAGAGGAAGGATATGAAGTTTACCTGAGTCACAAAACTCTACTGTTTCAGAGATGCCCCTTTTACCAACTTTTAAATCATTTTGCCCTTTTACATTCTAACTTAAGACAGATCAGGTATATTATGATTATGGTTATTGAACATATATTGGTACACTGTCTGGATATATACAGAAACAAAAACATGTTGCTTACCTAACATTAAATGGAAAATATGTAGTTATCATATAATCTACTATAGTCATTAAACATTGGAGTAGTTTAGTTGTTATATAGCACTATAGAGAGAACATAAAGTTTACTTTAAAAAAAAAGGAAGACATAGGCTGAGTGTCTGTAGCCACAATGGGCTACTTTCTAGTAGATCTGAACTTGCTGGATGTGGGGGTTCTAAGGAGCTGGGGAGAACATGGATAGTTAAGAATCTAGAATAGAGAAAAAGGCAATTAAAAAGGAGATGCAAAATAAACAGTATTTTATAGAATTTGCAAAGAACTTAGCCTAATTCTAGATACATGTTGCTTCTGTTCACGATAAATTAAATAACCACAAATAACACTCAGAATCCTCCAGAAATCAACACCTATGGCATGTCACCAA